GTCCTCAGCAAGGGCAAAGACCTGGAGTGTCATCGAGGTACAAGCCAAGTTTCAGTTACTGGGTCTGTGAGGGAGGAAGGGCTGGTAGCCTAACCCCTCAGCCTCCTTTTTTTTTTCCCTCCCTTATAAAGTGCCTAGATTCTTTTTTTGCTTGTTTGTTTTTTTCTTATCCTTTTTTTTTTCCTTTTGGCCGGGGCATGGGCAATGCTCCAAGGACAGGAGCAGCCCCAGACTCATGGCAAGCAGCCAGCTGGCTGCTGACGAGACATCAGGAGATCTGGGTACCCAGCTGCCCCTGGAGTCCAGCGATGAGGAGAAGCTAATCAGAATCCAGGTGGCGTGAAGAACAGGGAGTGACACGACCAGAGGGCAAGCCACACCCAGATCAAGTGGCTCGTCCTGGAGGCTGGCATATGGAAGGGGTGTAGGGGAGGCGGGGCCCCATGAATATTCATCAAGAGGTGTGACCAATCTAAGGGAGTCATCAACAGGGGAACCCACCGCTAAGGGTCCAATCAGAGTCGTGGCAGGAAAGTTTTTGGGCTTTCACCGGGGTGATCGAGGACCCCTCCAGAGGCCACATGAGCTCACGCAGTGCCTGACACCAGGCACACATGCCAAGGTAGAACGTGAACAGATATTCAAAACCAGGCGGGCACAAAGTGGTGCATTGGCCAGGAATTGGCAGAGGGACCCGACAGACAAACAGTACATCAACATGCAGCCAGTGACTATGGCCCCTCCGGACTTACAAGCCCTGACGCAGATCCTGGATGCCCAACAACAGATGATGGATCGGCAGCAGGACTGGTTGCACTACAGCCTGGCTGCATTTAACATGCTGAAGGTGACCCAGGAAGACAATCCAGAGGCCTATATCAAGGCCTTTGAATGTCACGCAATAATGACCGGGCTTGACAAATGGTATTGGGCCAGCCAGCTGGGCACACTCATCGTGGGCAAGGCCCAGGTGGCTTATCGGGCCCTTCCCAGGGATGAAGCTTATGACTACAAGCGGGTGAAAGTAGCTATTTTGCATAGGCTCGAGATTAACCCAGAGCACTATCGAAAGCTGTTCTGGGCTAAAATAGGGCCAGATGAGAGATGGCCTAGGATCCTACTACAGCTGCTTCAGGATCTCCTGAATAAATGGGTGAGCCCTGCAGTGTATGATCAGGATGCTTTAGCAGATCAAATACTGATCGAGGACCCCTGCAGAGGTCACATGAGCTCACGTAGTGCCCGACACCAGGCGCATGTGCCAAGGTGGCACATGAACGGATATTGGAAACCAGGCGAGCACAGAGATCAAAGCTAACAAACTGTACATGATAAAAATGAGAAAAAAAGAGATGTAATCAATTTACCGTCCGATTTATGGTTGATCCACATGTTACTTATACTTTCTAAAGCACATTATCTTAGTTAATAAAGTTTTTCAGTTTTTCCTTAGACTTCCTGCTGCCAGATGCTTAGTTTGTCAGTTGGCACATACTAGTTGTCACCAGGTCAGGGTTTGAATTGCATGTTTTGGGATTTTATTTTTCCCTTTGAAATAAAAGAATTGAGATTCATTTTTTCAGTTATACTTACAGGATTCCCTAAGGATTCTTTAAGATTTTAGCATTTCTACCCAATTTACTGCCAAAAGAGGATTTTCAGCAAAACAGCACATATCTCACACAGTAAGGGTTAACAATGCAGGCTAATCCGTACGTTGCTATTTTTTTTTTATTTAAGCGTGGCAAAAATACTCCTGTACACAATTAGAAGCAGTACATAACTGAAACATTTACAATGAAACTAATGCATGTCAAAATCCTGAAATAATACATGATGTATCATAAGTTTAATAAGTCTGTCAGTAGCTCTACTTTTTCTCTCATTACTAAGCCAACCCATATAAAGCATAAAATAGTTTCTTAAGATTTGCTTGTAATACAGTTTTATTTCTATCATATGAAACTATGAAAGCAAAATGACTTGGGATGGCGGGGAGGAGCAAGTGGCCATGATAAAATACATTTTTCGCTTTAATCATATCTAATAAGTGGTATATGAAGAGTAAAAAAAATTACTTGGGAAAACAATGAAGTATATAAAAACTAGTTCTGCATCATAGCAGCATTAAGTATATAATTAAAAATGTAATTCATATATATATATTTTGAGCATGTCTACATAGTATATGTTTTTATGGTAGTAGTAAAATGACATATGCCATTTTAGTTTTAAATATAAACTCTTTAAGTAACAGCTTATGTTTTCTTTAAGATTGCACTATATTGCCTACTTCATATGAATAAAATTGTACCTCTAAATATTTTTGAATTTTGAAGTCTAAATTATTTTTTTCCAATTTTGTAATAAAATAATGCATAGTTGTGTCTTTATAAATTAGAAAAATGCTTGCTAGATATTCCCTGTTCTCTCTTTGGAGAAAAGAAAAAATCTCTTTAATCATAATTTTCTAGTATATTATTGCAAATGCTAAATATGTCAAACAAAAATTTAAGTTATGTGAAAGGACTGGATAATACAATATATTGTATTTAGACGTGAGTCAAACTACTCTGTGTACAAACTAGTTTGACATAACTGCTCAATACTTTGGGAGAAAAACACAACTCAGTATAGCACTTTTAAATCCATCTGCTAATATATCTGTATAATGCAAGAAAAAGAGTTGTTTCTGAAGTAAAATTAGACAATGGAGCCAATTTCATTTTTTATGCATGTGAATGTAGAGTGCTTGAGGTTATTAGTTGAAACTGAGTAACCTTTCCAGGCTTTCATCTCTTTCTTTTCAAATTTGAATATGAAAAGCATATTCAAGTCAAAGACCATCACTTTAATGACATTTGGCAGTCATTTGATTTATTAGGTTTTAGAAAAAAAATTTCCTTTAAATATTTCATCATACTATGCTAATCCTAGTAATATTGCCAGCTGAAGCCGTGTACCTGTATTAGCAGAGACAGAATGGTGTGGAATTTTCTCTGTCATCCTAGTAAAATTTCCATGAATCTACTGAATAATAAAACAACCTTATTGAAATATTCAGATTTGGGTTTTTAGTTAAAGTGTCTAGGATACATAATAAAAGAAAATGTCTTTTGAAAGGAGGGGGTAAAATTACTTCATCAAATATTGAAGGGGCTTGACAGCAATGAAAATTGTTCTTTAAGAAAGATATTTTTACAATAGAATACTCATGCTTTTTCAGTTTGATTAATTATATAATAAGCTTTGAAATAAGCAATTGCCATGATGTATTTGAATATTATTTACAGTTCTGACACTGAACTCTAGAAAGCTGATCTAAATCTGTTGGGGTTTGTGTGTGTTTTAATTTTATCATTACTACTTCAGGTATTCTGAAATTACAACCAGAAATCTTCAAACACCGTATATGGGAAGTGATCGTTAATGCAGATGGAACTTTACAAGGGAGAAAGAAAAGTAGGGATGGGGGGTTGGTTAAGAAGAGCTTGACAGTTATGAACTATAAGGAGTTCTGTTTGCTCTTTGAAGAACAAAACCTCATCCTTTGAATATTTGTCTATACAGTCTAATTTTGAAATCACAGTGGTTTTGCTTTCTTTGAAATCACTGAGTTATCAAGTGTAGATGTTTGTGACCTTTGACGCTTCTTCCTAAATTGGTACAATGGTTTATCATATTTAAAAGTAACACATTTCTAAAACTGAAACTACTACTTTAGTTCCAGTTATAAAACAGAAAACACATCATCATTAATCACGGGCAAAATAGAATATGAAGAAAAATAAAGTGTGATGAAGACTAATTTTGATTTACTAATCATAGTATTAAAAAATTAAATTTTAAACATTTAATTTCACTAGACTGGTTGAGTTAAATGTGATATGTAATAGGGCTGTGAAAGGCTTTGGTCCCTGATTCAATTCAGCGTAGATTTGGCCCAATTCGGTGGCTGAATCTCCAAATCTGAACTGAATCAGAGGACCCTTTAATCTCTCTGAATCCGAATTGATTCAGAGAGATTCAGAAAGATTCAGAGATACGGACATAGAGACAGCTTTAAATGTTTTTTCTACATATGGAGTGTCACACAGAAGCACAGGGGCCTTCCCAGCGCACTTGGCAGCAGACCTGGATGTGGACCAGAAGCACTTCTGGTCCATTTCTGGGTTTGCCAGCAAGCACATGGAAGGCCCCCTTGTACTTCTGTAAGACGCTCCATGCACCCCAGCATTGCACCAATCATGAGCCATGCCTGCTACCTCAAGGTATGTAGAAAAAACTTCTAAAGCTGTGTCTATGTCTGAATCACTGATTCTCTGAATCAGCATTGAATCTTCAGATTTGGATTCGTTCGAATCAAATCAGGGACAGTGATCCAAATCAACGAATCAAATCACTGTCCCTGATTCGGGCCAAATCCGAATCGAATAGGGCCCACTTCGCACACCCCTAATATGTTCTGAGTTACGCCCATAAGTTCTGAGTTACTTTACATGTTATTATGTCAAGTAGTCCTGTGTTTTTATATCAACTGTATTCTAATAGCAGCATAGGTTGAAGTATGGCCTATGTGTAGGGATAATAAGTTGAAAGACTTGATTAATAGTAATTTTAAGAATTTTAAAGTTATCTACTAAATAGCAATATACATATATAGCACTTCCTTAGGTAGCTGAAAATAAGGGGAAATGATATTTATGACTCAGAAACCATTTATCTATGAAGATAACATAATCTTCTATGGAAGTATTTTCAACCTCAAATGTAAATCAGTAGTCTGTGGCAATGACACCGTTAACTATAAACCCTGGGACATTAGACCCTCATTGTATCTGTGTCACAATCAATCAATCATGTTTTACCACACAGTACCCTAGCGATTTGTGATTTATGTATTTGGGGGGGTTTCAAGTTGACTTAACAAGAAAAATACAGTGAGTTATATGTGTTTATGTCTGTGGTTTGCTTTTTTTTTAAAAAACAAAACAAAACAGCCATCTGCAAAAATTCGGATTGAGGTTGTATCCCTCAGTCTTGCTGATTCCCGAGTTGCAATGGATGACACAATACAACGGCTGTTCATAGAATGGAGATTCTACAGTTTCCCAGCAGAGGAGACTCCAGTGTCACTTCCAAAACCAAGAAGTGGACAGTGGATTCACTACAATTACAGCAGTGGTAAGTATGATGCATTTCCAAACAGCCTTATATCTTCTATTATTTTCAGTCCTATAGAAATGTTTAATAAATTCTGCTTCTGTCATTACTCCTATTGTAGTATAGTTGGTGCATCTGCCGGTTCTAAAAATTATTTTAGAAAATAATACAAATACCATATAAATAGAAGCTATAACAATATATATAATTTGAGGATGTGATTTATAAAGTATAAACCAGCCTCATTTGCTGAAAAGAGAAATATCTGTTGAATGCAGAAGATGAAATTATTTCTTTAAGTATACCCTTTATTTTTAATTTTTAAAAGGAAGAATATTCTGTTTGAGCCAACAAGCCAGTGCATGTCATGGCACTTGATGACACTGCAAACGCTACAAAACACCCATGCAGTCATTATTTTATAGAACCCAATCCACACAGAAAAACATTCAAACATAGTTCTAATGATAGATCACATTACTGGACTTGCATATTACTTTAGAATATTTGGCACTGCTTAAAGCAAAATTTTCTTTTTAATGAAACAGGAAGTTATCCAGCTATGATTACTGTTACAATGCTATCTATTTACTTCACTATTTTTATTCATTCTATATGTTCCAGTGTACCTTTGTCTCATAAACCTCTATTTGAAAGTATTTTGTGTTAATGTTGAACTTAATTTATTATAGGAATACCCGTATTACTGCTATAGTAAAGATGGTTAATATATTAATTAGATCATTTTCTCAATTATTTCATACTACAGTAAGCTTGAGACTAACATAATTGGTGATTTTTCCCCCGCTTTTAATATATAGGAGAGAGAATTGTCTGTGACTTTAGTAGGGTGAGGATTCTATCCATGCATTCTAGTGAAGATGGTAGTCTGGTAAAAAAAAAAACAAACAAAAAAAGGATTTGATATTTAAAACAAAAAATCATCATCAGCTGCTGGACAGTTATTAAGTTCTACTGACAATCAGTGTTATTTTAACAGTATTACCAGCACATTTTTTTTGTGACTCTCTGAATATTGGGTATATTTCCTTCAAGTCACAGCTTCTACAATAATGCAAACGCACATTACTGAAAAGAGAAATATCTATTGAATGTAGAAGACTACATTATTTCTTTAAACACATTCTTTGTTTATCATTTTAAAAGGAAAAATACTGTAGTGAAGCCAACAAGTCAGTGCATGTAATGACAAATGATGATACTTCAAAACACCCAAGAAATTCAACTTTCTTTTAAAAACGTTATTAAAGTAAGTTTCATGATTGCTAAACCCCAAAGGACCAAAGCAAGAACACAAATGCAATCGTGAATCAATAGTTTTTTCACATTTACATTATTTTAGGCAATGTCATGACTTCTAGGGATTTTATCTGTGATTTTAATCTCAGTATGGCAATAACATATACTTTGTTTTAACTTTTGCTTGTTAAAAACTGACTGCATAAGAACAACTCCAATTTTCTATTTGCTGTTGAAAGTATAACTATTCTTAGCATTTGAATAGCCCAGAAAAATACTCTTTGAAAGTGTTGTTAGTTTTAACTGGTAGAGTGTGCTAATTTGCAGCACATTCAATATGGTTGCCTTGTTCTTTTTAGTATTTTACTTTGATAACTGGTCATCTAATTTCCACTTAATATTAGCTTTGCATATAAGAGAAAAGTCCTAATGAATTTGCTGTTTGATAATGTCAGTGAGAAAGCCAGTAATCTAATAGTAATGAATTCACTCTGTGTGTGTTTACTATAGCTTTACTCCATCTCTTGTTCATGCCTAATTAGATTTGAGTATGTAGAATAGTTGAGGTTAATTGAATATTTTCTTTAATAAAATTGAGATTTACAGGGGGAGAAAGAAATGTACTTTGAGCTTAGAGAGAAACTAATAGTCTTCTACATTTTGTGTGGAAAAATCATGCTAAATCCACAAGTAATTTAAGAAATCATTAATTCTGGTAAATAAAATCTTTTCTATGTATTTATAACTTAACTAGTGTGACTTTTAAGAAATGTGAGAAGCAAGGATTTCAGGGATAATATCTTGTATTGCACAAACTGCATGTTTTAGATAAAAGTACACAAGCTTTTGAGTGCAAGAATATCACCCCCAAAAAATCCTTAGCTCTCACATTAGTTTCTTGATCATCACCACTACATTACTGTAACACTGTTTTAAGAAATACATATAACTTATACCAGGGGTGGGGCAGTTATTTGAGCTGGAAGGCCACTTAATGAGTTTTGGTGAGCTGTTCAGGGCCACATGCATTCTCTCTCTCTCTCTCTCTCTCTTCCCCCCCCCACCCCCCCCCTGCAGCTGGGCTGACACTGCACCAGAGCAGGACTGGGAACATGAGCCCACCAAGGTCTGTAGCATCTTATCTCACTGACATAGAAGCTAGACTGTTCTCAACGGCTGTTTGTACACATGACAGGGGTTTCATTCTCCCTAAATTGAAGCGATAGGTTTTTAATTTGTGGGGTTTTAATTGTCAATTAAAATTTAGACCGTTTCAATTTAGGGACTTCTGTCACATTACAGTGATGGCCCCCGTCAGCTCACCTGCCTTCCCCGCCCCCCCCACCCAAGCAGGTTCCACCAGAAGCAGTGAGGGGCCTGATTCTTTCTTTTCTTTTTTTCCCCAGAGCTTGCCCACCTCTCCTGTGGCCAGGGAGCAAGCTGCCAGTGGGCCCTGAGCTGGGTGGGGGGGCCTGGTCCTTCCCTCTGTGGTGGTGGTGCCCCTCTGGGCAGCACCCACCCACTGAAAGGCCTGGGGCTTCCAGCAGCTCAGGGACTGTTCAGCCCACTGGTACCTTGCCCCCCCAGCTGCAAGACAGGTGGGCAGGCTCTGGGGGGGGAAAGGATTGGGCCCTTCCCTGTTTCCCCCCTCTTCTGGAGCCTGCCTGCATTTCCCATGGCTGGGACATGAGCTGCAGACAGGCTGAGCAGTCCCTGAGCTATGGGGGGCCCTAGTCCTTTCCTCCGCAGTGGTGGCGTCCTAGGACCACCCAGGTGGACTGCTAGCAGGTGGGTGCTGCCTGTGGAGTGCTGCTGCCATGGAGGGAAGGACCAGGCCTCTGTCCCCTTCCTCCCTCCACAGCACTCAGGGCCCACTGGCAGCTCATCCTACAGGTGCAGGAGAGGTAGGCAGGCTCCAGGAGAAAAAAAGAAAAAGATCATGGCCCTTTGCTGCTTTTTTCTTTCTTTTTTCCTCAGTGGAGCCTGTCCGCATGAGCTGCCACCAGGTTGCACGGACCCTGAGCTACGTGGGGCCCAGTGCTTCTCTCCATGGTGGCAGTGCCCCCTGGGACCACCCAGGTGGGTTGCTAGCATGTGGGTGCCATCTGGGGGGTGCTGCTGCTCCTGATGAAAGGTCTGTGGTCCCCCACAGCTCAGGGGCTGCTTGGCCCACCAGCAACTCACCCCCCTGGCCACAGGAGAGACAGGTAGGCTCCAGAGCCCCGTGCACTGTTTCTGCAACTTGGGACCACCCAGGAACAGGCTGGCTTGCTGGAGGGCAGCTGGGTGTGCTCATGGCAGGAGAAGGTGGCAGGGATGGTGCGTGGGGCACTGGAAGCCTGCCAAGCCCAAGCTTCCCCAAGCACATCTGGACTTCCAGTGCCCCGTGCACCATTGCAATTTGTTACCTAGGAAACTAAAATACAACGGATGGGTTTTACCTTCCTATGTAGCAAGGTCACTTAAAGCAAAGTACACTGCCGCACGTGTACCTCACGATGAAATTAAAGTGAAATACACCACCGCAGGTGTAAA